TATATACATTCACTTGTCGCCACCTACTGGAGTAGCATATTTATTTTTCACCACCACTAATGGATATAAAGTTAAATTCTCTGTAGAAAAAAGGAATTGCCGAAATTGAGATAAAAGTGACCATGCTCATACAGCACAATATTTGCAATAATTACCACACAGTACGAAGGAAATAACTATAGCTGTTGGCTTTCAACGAAGAGCAAGCAGTAGAAGCCTCTGCTTGCTGGTTGCTTCGGCAGTGGGCGGGATTAACGCACAAGCTCTAATCCCATTGGCTAGTGCTCACCTTCACCGTACGTGTTTTGATTTCAGCATATCACTTTTAGCAAACTCTGACAACGCGATTAATATTCATAAGCCCAATAGCGTCATGCACTGACACAAATAGCAATCTACCTTAGGGAAGAATTAAGTGAGCAAGAGAGAAGTCGACTTCTGTAAGTTATCTTTCTGTAAGTTATTTGTTTTTAAATAAAACAAAATATTTTACATTTGCGTAATTTTTAACGTGTTATTAATCTCAGGCAAATTCAGCTTTTGTCTGCAAACTGATGAGGTACAACACAGATAAACAAAGTTCAAGTTCAAACAGTTGGCTCTGCAGTTCTCTGAATGACATTCAAAAACTGGAAGACTGAAAGCATTACTCACCTGGAATAATTGTAATGTCAGAGTCTTATGGGACTGAAGTTATTGCGGTTCATCGTTTTCCTCTCATTAAATTGATAGGATAATAGAGAACATTCCCCCAGCTATTTCTGTGATTGAAATGGGCAATCTTAAGGTGAAAGGGAAAGGTGAAACCAAAAAATATCTGGGTAGATTTATGTAAGGAATAATACAGCCCTCAGTAATTCTGACCATGCATCAGTCTCTCATTTAAATGTGATTTTATTGCTTTTGTTCTTCCATGAACGCATGCATGAGCAGAAGAAAATAAAACAGAATACTAATGCATGCTGAGTACAACCAGAGCTCATTTCCTGAGACCCCTGCAAGAAATCCCAAAGCAACTTAAGTATCACAGGCAGGAGAATTTTGCTTTGATCTTCAAAAACACACACATAGTCATTGTTGAGACATAGCTGGCTTTCTCTTTACCCCGACACCAAACAGCATCTCAAAGCCTGTATCTGAGAGTGTCCTCTCACTATGTAGCCTGAAGACATATGACTTGAATAAAGGTTTCCTTAAAGGAGCCAGCCAATGAACCCCAGCATTTATCACCGTAGTAATAAGGAGCGCATGGCAAGTGTTTAAAACAGTGAAGCTTGGAATGTAAATGCAAGGGTAAAATTGTGGCGTCTGCCTTGTTACTTACTTATATTGTCTTTATTTTTTTGGCATGTCCTCTGTTTTTTGGATTGGTTATCACAGACAAGAATGTAGGCCATAGTAAAATACGGATGCAATTTTGAAGGAATATTTTTACATGAGAGAATTTCACATGGACTGTATTTCGTTCTTCCTCTCATAAGATGATGGTGCTTTTAAAGTAATCGTTCACCCAAAAATTTTAATTGGCTGAAAATGTACTTACATTCAGGCCATCCAAGATGTAGATCAGTTGGTTTCTTCATTTGGAGAAATATACATTACATCACTTGCTCACCAGTGGATCCTCTGAAGTGAATGGGTGCCGTCAGAATGAGAGTCCAAACAGCTGATAAGTAAGATCAGGAAGCGTTATTATAAATTATGTACTTGTATTTTGGCCAGAAGCGACAGTATAAAATTAAAAGCACGATGGATTTGTTTATTATACGCAGCTTTTCACTTCAGAGGATGTTAATTTATGGACTAGAGTTCTGTGGATTATTGTGATGATTATTGTGATGCTTTTATCATTTGTTCAATGTTCATTTTTGAATGAACTACTCCTTTCAGAATATCAGTGCATCTATTCACCAGGCTGTGATTTGTGACACACACAGTGCTGTATAAAATAATCAGTAGTTCTTGGATAGTACAAACTGTTTGTTCTAAATGAACCGACAAATGTAAGATTAGAAACAAGTCAGTTTGTTCCTGTCTAGACTCTTGACCATGCTAATTAGAAACTGTTACTCTCTCTGTTTATTGGCTCTTAATTTTATGTGCATATTA